TTCTCTCCTTGATTTGTTTCCACCCATTGCTTCTGTCCTACCCTCAGGTGTTTTGGAGAATAGCTTGACTCCCTCTTGTTTGTGGCAGCCCCTGAGATATTGGAACTCTGCTATCATGTCATCCCTAGTCCTTCTTTTCATCAGACATACCCAGTTCCAGCAACCATTCTTTATATGTTAGCTAGTTCTCCCTGCCATCTCCAAAATGTCTGTGAATCAGAAGAGAATGAGGAGAAATATAAAGTCTTGGGGGGAAACCCCCCAATAAATTTCCTTCTATATGTGTGGGATAGATGTCCTCTTTGGCCTCCAGGATAATGTCATTTTCAGGTGGAGCTTCTGTTTTGTTGATCCTTTTTTCTTCTTCCCCAGGCAGAATATGAGCTTTCTCCAGATGAGAAACGCAAGGAAATGGGAGAAGAAGTCATTCAGCAGTTTTTCAACAAGGAGGTCAGTATTGCACCTTCATAAGATAAAGGTAAAGGAGATTTTTAGGGTCCTTGTAAAAAAGGTGGTTCGATATGCAGAAGTCCAAAAGTATAATTAAGAATTGCTAGAATCGTCTGCAGGAACCTATGTTTCCTTTCTCTGGGATTGCCCCATTTTTCTTCTTCCAGCCATTGTGTGAGATGTTTTAGTTTGGGTAAAAGTGCCAAGATCGTTTCAAAGGATGTGATCTTGGGTGTTGGCTTTTAGAGTATTCCTGATTTTAGAGTCCAAACACTGAGTAATCCAGAAGAACTTTTCCCAATTACTTGGCTTTCCAGAGGAGCTAGACTCTAGGTGCTCTTCTCCTGGACATCATAAATGATTGGTCATGAGAACCTTATTCTAGCAAACAGAAGATCACTTCTGGGAAGGCTGCTGTATGAACTGAGAGCAGAGACTACAGAAGCATAGAGCACATTTTTATTTTACAGTGAGGAGTCAAAGTAGGGAGTGAAGGCAGAGCAGAATATGAATTGAAATCTACCAATAGAGGAGAATATTTGTAACTCAACTGTAGAGTCCTTCCTGCTCTCTGAGCTTAGTGGTTTTCTTGCAGACATTTCATCGCTAAAGAAGCATGATAGCTCACATAGTTAGGACTCTGGTTTCTAGGTTAGCAAGGTTGCATTGAAAGAAGCCATCAACTGTGCGTCCCTTGGGCAATGGTGATGTCACTGGCTAATTCTTTCCCGGAAGCGCCTCAGTGTTTCTAAACTAGGTAACATCATCAGTGCACCACCAAGAACCCCACAGAATTGAAATCTAGAGTGCAAGATGGTTCACTGGCTTTAAGAATTACAAATTAATTTCCTTCTTTTTATGTGTATGTGTTTAGTCCCTGGGCTATATGGCAGAGATTTGTGAACTTCTTATGAACCAGTGCATAGAAGACGTACAGAGAATCCCTTGCAAGGAGCTCTTTGGCTGCTGTGTACAGTGAGTACTACATCCTATAGATCTGGAAGCCAGAAGGGTAAGCGGGTGGATTCGGTATCTTGTCAGGGCAAACTTGCATAGAAGTCCCATTTTTTTTGTATAATAAACCAACCTTTTCCAATCTAGGAATCCTTCCAGATGTTTAGACCAACCACAGAGTTCCCCAACCCAAATGATCATTGCTGAGAACTATGGGAGTTGAAATGTATGGGTGGAGGCTGCCCTGTTGTAGAACATTGGGATAAAACATGGTTACCTTATCCACAATTTGCTATAAAGAAGATAAATGCATAAATCATGGTTGACGTTGGCTTGTTTTAAATTCAAAGGGTAATTAAAATAACCGCAATTTGTTGGGCTCAAATAATGTGGCTAGATGTGGCTAATACACTCATGTGACACTCTTACTCATAGTTAACCATACTGAACTCTGTCCAGTTTTCTGGGTTCATACACTACAATAATTCATAACCACACAGCCTGAGTTTGCACAAATGCTATATTGAAATGATTTGGGGCTTAGTGTGTCATATAAAACAGCCAATAACTCCCAAACTCTTTTTTTTAATGTACCCCCGGAGAAGGAAATGTGTATATGAGCTGAATGGGGGTGGGGGGGCTGAATTCATTCCTTTTAGAGTGAACTCAATGAAAATTACTCAGTGTACCTATTCTTCAGAGACATGAAGGCATGAGACTGAAGAAAGCTTATTTTTTGTGTGTTAACCAATTTGCAGATAATTAATCCAATAATTTTCTAAATGGCATTTACATTACATATTACATTAAATTAAAATCTATTTAACCACGCATAAACCACAGCTTATTGAATCCATGTCACACTAAGGCAGGGATGTCAAATTCAAGGCCCGGGGGCCAGATCCAGCCCGCAAGGTGCTTAGATCGAGCCCACAGGGACATCCTGGAAACAGCGAAGGACCGGCCCGTGGTGCCTCTGTCAGTGAAAATGGAGCTCAGGAGGGCTGCCTGCGGCCCTCCAAACTCTGTTTGTGCTGGCAGAAGGTTGAAGGAGGCCGTCATAACTGAAAATGCAGCTCATTTTCACTGACAGAATGCTTGGACCACCATAGGCACCTCCAACATGAGTGATGCCAAGCTGACTATGCCTACCGGACCATGCCCTCCCCGGCCTCCCGAGGTCAAACACAACCCTGATGTGGCCCTCAATGAAATCGAGTTTGACACCCCTGAACTAAGGAATAAATCATGATTTATAAACCATGACAGTTAAGTCCATAATCCTGCTATCAGTCTCAAACAAACCTTATTTTGGCTTAGGGTTGAATGAACCCAACTAAGTGATACATCTTGCATTTTGTAAGAAAATCATGACCAATCAAGGCTGAATTGTATTTTTTGCCAAGGTGGACTATCATGGGCAGAAGCAGCTTTAAAGCCAAGAAAAGGCACTGGGTTTATATCACTATATAGCAGTGTTTCTCAACCTTGGTAACTTTAAAATGTATGGACTTCAATGCCCAGAATTTCTCAGCTGGCATGCTGGCTGGAGAATTCTGGGAGTTGAAGTCCGCACATATTAAAATTATCAAGGTTGAGAAGCACTGCTGCGGAGAGTATCTAATATGAACCACTTTGGGAGCCCACAAAGAACCTGCCCTCCAAATTCATAGGAAAATAATGCCCGCTTTCAATTCCTCTTATCTCCTAGGCGGCTGCATGAATACCTGGCTGGTGCCCCTTTTGCAAATTACCAGGACAGCATGTATTTTGACAGATTCCTCCAGTGGAAATACCTGGAGAGGTAAGAGAATAATCCTGAGTGGCTGGAATGCAAGAAGCCCCACTCATTTACTGAGCTGATGCTGATAAGAAATGGGTGTTCAGTAATGCAGTGTGATCTTCTTAATATCTTCAGGCAATCCGTGACCAAAGACACCTTCAGGCAATACCGGATCCTAGGCAAAGGCGGCTTTGGAGAGGTAGGAAATGGTGGCAGCTTGAACTTGTTCCCCATTAGGGATCAGGAGTAGCTTTGGATTCCTATAATCTCAAATTCATCATGACTGTCTCTTTGGCCTCAGTTCTAATTAGGGATGGGTGAATTTGCCAAAGTTATATTTGCTCAATTTTCAAAAAAAACAAACAAACCCAAATTTAGCTTTCTTCTGCATCTGTCCACAAACTTCCTCACATAATTAACACTTTTCCAAATATGTCTTGATTTTGGAAGGGGCGGCATTGTTTGAATTATGAACAGATCAAGACATTCTGGAAAGTAGAAATTTTGTTATTTGAGTGGGTTGCAGTTTGGGTCTAGGTTTATGAAGTGCAAAGTTTTCATCAAAATGAATCAAATTAATTTTGCTGCTGTGCCTACTTATAACACTTCCTGGAAGCCCTGAAATGAAATTGAAATAAATCTAGAACCCTCTTAAGAAAAGAGGTATGAAGAAGGATGGATACTAAAGCTCCAGCATTACTTTCTTCTTCTCTATCATTGCTGTTTTGATGGGGAAGGTCTGCAGGAAGATTTGACCACAACTTCCCATAAGGGCTAAAACTGCGCCCAACAAGCTCAGTTCCAGTTCCCTGGAGAATTGCAACATATTCCATTAAAAATGTTTATACACAGTTTCTACAGTTTTTTTTTTATCAACCCAGGTCAAGCAGGGGAAGGGGGAAAATTTACTACAATCTGACTCCATGAAGCTGTTTGCTGAGAGCCAGAAGAGGTTTGTTCGGAAAGGATGCAGTCCCAAGTTAGTATCTCGACACAGAAGCTGCATTTAGATTATATTAAAAAATAGGCATGACTCATTTCCTGGTTATTCCACCTAAATCCTTGTTATTAGTTGAGTGAGAGGGAATCGAGGCTTCATTTCATAGCCAAAAGTCAGACTGAAAAATAAAGGTGATGACTTCATATGCTGAGGCTGGGACAATTCAGTTTGTCCAATTTTTGGTTTGGGGTTGGAAAGTTCAAGAATGGACACACAGGAAGAAAAATCACTGGAGAGAAAACCATTCTCATGTCCTTCTGGTTTCTATGTTTGTAACTTGTCTGTCTTTCCCCTCCCTCCAATTGTGAGCCGCCCTGAGTCCCCCCAGGGAAAAGGGCGGCATACAAATAAAGTATAAACTAAAAAAAACTAAACTAAACTTCTTTGGAAAGAGCCTCCCTTCTCCCAGTCTCCTCCACACTGCACTGCTGAAATGTGGGGATAAAATGACTACAAATCGGTGTAATTTGATGGCAATATAGTTCTCGCTGTTTTGAACTAAGCAGAGGTGGTCCTTGGCATACGATCACAATTTGCTTGCTAAGTGATGCAACTTTTAAGTGGGTTGGGCCCAATTTTACAACCTTTTCAATTGGGTCCTTAAGTGATCATCATGGACATTAAGCAAATCACGTAGGCATTAAGCAAATCAAGCTTCCCCCACTGACTTCGCTTGTCAGAATCCTTAGAAGGTTGCAAATGGTGATCACATGACCTTGGGGATGCTGCAAATACATGCTGGTTCCTAAGCGCCCAAATCTTGATCACATCACCACAAGGACACTGCAGCGGTCGTAAGTGTGAGTAAACTACTTTTTTCGGAGTCATCGTAAGTTCAAACAGTTGTGAAATGAATGGCGATAAGTCAAGGATTATCTCTAACAGTAAAAAGCAGCGGGCTCCCATTTTCCCTGTTTGGGAACCCACCATACTGATTCATGATTAACACACATGATTTCTGCAAGATGGTCTTGGAGATGACATTCCTGTTTTGGTCTTCAAATAGAATTTGGGCCACAGGTGGCCTGTACCTGCTATAAATAGTTAGATTGATTTAACGGAACATTTGAATAGGAGTTTCAAGATGTTTAATTCCAACAGGCCAAGCTGAGCCCAGCTGTGGAATAAAGGACACTATTGCTGTGTTTAGTGGACCCTCAAGGCTTACAGAAGTACAAAATATTAGAGAAATAAGGAGACAATCTGCCTCCTGCTCCTCCTAAAAGCCTAATGTAGAATGTGGCTACCTGTATAAGATGATCCAGAATCCATGCAGATCATGGGAAGAGAAAGCACAGCAAGCAGCTGGGCCCTCTATGATACTGTTTCTCAACCTTCTCAACTTTAAAGAGACATGGGTTTCAAGTCCCAGAATTCTGGCTGTCTGGGTAATTCTGGGAGTTGAAGTCCAGATGTCTTAAAGTTGCCATGTTTGAGAACCACTGCTCCAAAGGGTCACTTATTTAGGAAGGGAGACACCTTACCTACATTTAGTCCCTGCAAAGACACATAACTGCAGCCAGAGATGTTTCTGACATTTTAAAAAGCTGCTTTGAAAGGGAACTGTGTGATGTTGCAAGCGAGAGCTGATGATCTTTCCATTCTTTCCATCCCTCTTCCTCCTAATCATCTCCCTCTTCGTAGCAATTTATACCCAGCAACCCACAACTTCCTGTTTTTGCCCTGCTGAAGTTGGGTATCTAAATAATTTAGCAGGACAATCTTAGACCATTTGGGGTTTAGAGTGGAAAAAAGCACTGTATGGCTTTAGGAGCCCTGCCACTTTTACCTGCCTTCTGCATATCCTTCCAGTAAAAGAGAAAAAAAAAACAAGCTTAGGTTTAGGTTTAGGTTTAAT